AGCGGTCTAGCTCAATCATAGAGGTACAAAGAGTGCAACAGAAAATTAAGAGTAGAACTACTATTTCAATCAGCAATTCCACTTCTGGGTATTTATCCAAAGAAAATGAAAACAGTAATTTGAAAAGATATATGAACCCCTATGTTCATTGCAGTATTATTTACAATAGCCAAGATATGGAAGCAACATAGGCACCCATCGAAAGATGAGTGGATAAAAAATGATGTGGTATATATGTATACATACATATTGGAATATCACTCAGCCACAAAAAAAGAGTAAAATCTTGCCATTTGTGATAACATGGATGGACTTGGAGGGTATTATGCTATGTGAAATAAGCCATATAGAGATTAAAACATACTGTATTATTTCACTTATATGTGAAATCTAAAAAAACAAAACAAACAAACAAAACAGAAACAGACTCATAGACACAGAAAACAAATTGATGGTTTCCAAAGTGGAGAAAGGAGGGAGGTGGGTGAAAAAAACGAAGGGGAAAAGAGGTACTTACTTCCAGTTTTAAAATAAATAAGTCACAGGAATGTAATGTATAGCATAAGGAATATAGTCAATACTATTGGAATGATTTTATACTGTGACCGATGGTTACTAGACTTTTTGGGTTGATCACATCATAAGGTACATTAGTGTTGAAAAACTATGATATGCACCTGAAACTAATATAATATTGTAAGTCAACTGTACTTTACTAAAAACAAAAATGAAAAGATCAGAATGGCGGGGGGACTGTCATATAGAGTTAATAAAATTTCTCAGATTATAAAATAAAACAAACAAAAAAAATCTAGGGCCAGCCGAGTGGCCTAGTTGGTTAAGAGTTGACTTGAGAGCACGAGCTCTGAGCAATAGGGCTGCCGGTTCGATTCCCACATGGGCCAGTGATGCTGCACCCGAGCTGAGCTGTCGCTGAGCTGCCAACAGGTGGCAAGATGGCTCAGCTGGTGTAACAACAAGATTGCTTGTTTGGTGGTAGGCTACGCCCACCCTCAACTAAGACTGAACTCGGCACCTTGAGCTGAGTTGCCGCCAGGATGGCTCAGTAGATAGAGCATGTGTTCTTAACAACAAGGCTGCTAGTTCGACTCCTTCATGGGATGGTGGCTACATCCAAACGCAACTATATTGAACACAGCACCTTGAGCTTAGAGCCCACACACTGTGGACGGGAAGTCAGATGGCGATTGGCGCCCTCCACAACAAAGAGCCCTCCACAATGAAGATTGAAGAACAACAACTTGGCCAGTCCCCTTCCCCAATTCCCCAATAAAATCTTAAAAAAAAAATGTCTAAGAGAGAGAGGCCTCACAACTGACTATATTTCCATGTCTTCAGATTACAGTCTCACTGCCTTTCTCCACCTGTCCTACCCCTGCTCAGGGCCTTACAAACTTTGTCTTTTTCATCCCCTCTCTCTGTTATTCTCATCCTCCCAGTCTTTTTGGCTGTCACAGAAAAGGAGAGGTAAAAGAGAAAGACACTGAACATCTGCAGGCCATACAAAGACAGGAACAGGATACACACACACACACACACACATACATACATACACACACACACACACCGACACACACAAGCACTAGAGCACATGCAGACTCACACATGCAGGAACACACACCATCACCACCCTGTAAATACAAACACACTCTCACATTGAAAACAATACAAGCATATAAAGCATACATGCAGATATAAGCTGACTCATCCACAGGAATATACATATGGTGTCTTATGGGCAAGATGAAGTAACAGTGACCAGAGGAAACAACCCTACTGAAACAACCACCACATGGGGAACTGATACGAAAACAGTTTTTAAAGCATAGGACAACATGCAATCAAGGACTCTGTGTCTGAGAAATGAAAAACAAAAGGGGTAGCTCTACAGTTGCCTCAGTGTATGGCCTTAAGGGTGTTTCCAGGCTTCAATGCAGTCAGGGGAACCCAGGTGGAGCCCCATTCACTCCCCAAATTAAGTAGACAGAACGAAGAGTTTAAGGGGTCCAAGGCAGCTAGAATTCACAGGAAAAAGTACAGGTTAGGAGCTGCAGAGAGAAGGAATTCTGAAGATCTTCAGAGGGTCCCTGGAGAACACTCAGCTGAGGACTGATCAAGCATGTGTGTGTGGAAAATACCAGAGGCTGCGAAAGAACCCTGTGAAATGATTATAAGAAATGGTACTCAGGCAGGGCCAGGAAGATTGCCTGTTCCCATCAGCCAAACTGAAAAAAAAATCTTAATTCCTGAGGCACTGGGACTCAGGAAAGTCTTGCCTAGTAGCGGGGAATAATCCATCCTAGGCTGCACACTCCTCGAACTCACTGAACAAATCTTAAAAAGAAGACCTGAAAGGGTTAAACATTTTCCAAGTACTACTTGTGTTTTAGAACAAAACTCAAGGATATGTATAAGAATACAAATATCCAGTACCCAACGAGGTAAAATTCATACTGTCTGGAATCCAAAAAAACTTACCAGGCATGCAAAGAGGCAGACAATGATAGCCCATAATGAGGAGGGGAAAAAAGCTGACACAGATGTTAGAATTATCAGACAAGGACCTTATAACAGCTATAATAACGGTATTCCATGTGTTCAAAGGTCTAAGTAGCTATTTGGAAGATATTAAAAAGACCCAAATCAAACATTTAGAGGTAAAAACTACACTACTTGAGATGGAAAATACACTTATGGAATTCATGGCAGATTAGATACTGTAGAAGAAAAGATTAATAAACTTGAATTCACAGAAATAGAAACTATTCAAAATGAAAAACAGAGAAAAGAGAATTAAAAATATAAACAGAACATCAGTGAGTTGTGAGACAACATCAAGAGGCCAAATTTATGTATACTTGAGTCCTTGAAAGAAAGGAGAGAGAAGTAGAGACAAAAAATACATTTGAAAAAATTAATGGCTGAAAATTTTCCAAATTTGGTGAAAATTATAAACATGTACATCCAAGAATCTCAACAAACAAACAAAGAAACAAAAATATAAATAAGCTACACCAAGGCACATCAGAATCAAATTTCTCAAAACTAGTGTAAAAAAGACACATGCCAATAAAATTGAAAACTTAGATGAAATTGAAAAATTCCTCAAAAGATACAAATTATCAAAGCTCACTAAAAGAGAAATAAATAACTTGAATAGCATTGTAGTTATTGAATTTGAAGTTAAAATTTTTTCCATAGAGATGACACCAAAAGCATAGGCAACAAAAGTAAAAATAGATAAACTGGATTGCATCAAAATTAAAAACTTCAGTGTATGAAAGAATATCAACAGAGTGAAAAAGCCACCTAGGGAATGGGAGTAAATATTTGCAAATCATATATCTGATAAAGGGTAATATGCAGAATATATAAAGGATATCTACAAATCAACAACGAAGAAACAACCCAACTGAAAAATGAGCAAAACATTTGATTAGACATTTTTCTAAAGAAGGTATAAAATGTGCAACAAGCATATGAAAAGATGCTCAACAGCAGTAATCATTAGGAAAATGAAAATAAAACCACAATGAGATATCACCTCAGACACATTAGGATTGTTGCTATATCTCTATTCTATCTGTACAGAAGATAACAAGTGTTGGCGAAGATGTGGAAAAATTGGACATTGTGCGCTGATGGTGACAATGTAAAATTGTAAAGGTACTCTGAAAAACAATATGACAGTCCCTCCAAATATTTAAAATAGAATTACCACATGACCTAGCAATTCCACTTCTGTGTATACATCCAAAAGAAATGAGAGCAAGGTCTCAAAGAGATATTTGTACACCCATGTTCATAGCAGCGTTATTCACAATAACCAAAAGGTGAAAGCAACTCAAGTATTTATCAACAGATCAATGCATAAGTAAATGTAGTATATATGTACAGTGGAATATTATTAATCTTTAAAAAGAAGGAAATTCTGACACATGCTACATTCAACATGGACAAAACTTGAGAACATTAGGCTCAGTGAAATAAGTCAGTCACAAAAAGATTTCAGTTATCTGAGGTCCCTATCTGAGGAGTAGTTTGCCTAACATTGCAAGAAAGATGCTGCCTAATCTCCCTCCACTCCCTTTTAAAGGAAAGACACAGAGAGGGGTGGAAAGCCAGGCCCAGGGCACGACAGGTCCATGTGGACACAATCATTCACATATTCTGCAAATTGGCACTGAGCCTGCTTGGAGAGTGACACCAGCCCAGTGCACATCAATCAGACTGGCACAGTCTCTGCACATGCGGGATTCAGAGTCTAAAAGGGGAAACAGAGACACTGAGACAGGGAGAGAAAGCAAGAGAGAGAGACACATAGATACACAGATTGTCAGAGAGGATCAGAGACATGTCCTGCACTGTAAACACACAGCCAGAGGCAGGGAGAGAACTGCTCTGTGCTGGTGAGAGCAGTCAGCGATACAGGGGACCAAGTGTCCCCCTGCCAGGTCTCAGTCTCTCTGTCTTTCTCCACCTGACCCCCTCCACCTCTGAGTCTAACCAGTTCTGTGTCTCTCCCCACTCCTTCTATTTCTCCCATTTGTGGCTGTCACAGAAAGGAGGGTGAAGGAAGGGGGACTGAGCACCTGAAGGCCCTACAAACACAAGAACAGGGAGATGCACAAACACACAAACACACACAGATGCACACACAGGGACACACACTACTACCACCACCATACACATGCAAACATCTCTTCACATATGAATGCATGTTAATCCATATAAGCCTACACATGCAAAAATACATGCATAAGCACATGCAGACTCATACACAGAAACACATCAGCTTGTTCACATAACTACAAACACCCCTTCACATATAACAATCTTACAGGCACACACACAGATGCAATCAGGCATGGACAAAGATGCAAGTATCAACACACAAACAACATCACAACAAGTAGACAGTGTATGCTCATCATACCCATAAAAATAAACACACAACGCATGTATGGAAACATACTCACATTTACCTTGGAAACTACCACAGGATTCTGCTGGTATCTGGGGAGTGCTGGGGTAGGCGGTGAGCATGTCACCGGGCTGCCTGAACAGAGAGTATGGGCGCCTTAGTACCTGTCTTTCAAGTTCACATTCCTGGACAATAATGAGAGGGAGGCGGGGAATGGGTGACATTACATAAGCGGGTGAAGAGGCAGGCTGAGGATAAAGGGCCCAGCTGGAATCGGCAGTGGGCTGGAAGGCAGTCAGACTGAGACCATGGAGCTCAGTGTCTTCCTCCTCCTTGCTTTCCTCACAGGTCTCTTGCTTCTCCTGGCCAGGGGCCACCCAAAGGCACAGGGCCGCCTCCCACCAGGCCCCCGTCCTCTGCCCATCTTTGGGAACCTTCTCCAGATGGACAGAAGAGGCCTCTTAAAATTCTTCCTGAGGGTAAGATGCAAATGGATGGGGTCTGAGGGTGGCTCCCTGTCTCCATACTTGGGAATCACTCACCAGGAGTGAGCTTTCCAGGCTCAGGTGTGGGGCGTGCGAAGGTTAGTGAGTAAGAGGCATGGAGCTCAAGCACGGTGGGTGGTGGTCAGATAGTCAGAGGCATCCTGCTCAGTTGGAAGTGCATGGCACTCTCCCTGGAGAGGGCAAGCGGGCATGAAGAGGTGTCTGGGTATGAGCCAAGGAAGTAGAATTTCACATCTTCTGTCGCCACTGGAAGAGAGAGAAAAAGGGCTGTTGGCAGCAATGGAATAGATTTCTTCTGTGTCAACAAGAGAGCAAAGATTGGCTCATGTCAGTGCCAAGACAATGCAGAGGAGAAGGGTAAAATGTGGTGGGGAGACCACCACAGAGTGCTTCCCAGTAAGCACCATGGTGACCACATTTCTGAATCTTGGGCTTGTCATTTCTTTGCTTTTAATAGAGACAGTATTATCACATATATGGAGGGGCCCCAAGTACATATTATTTAGTTCTCATTGTCTTCAATAGCACAGGGTACCATTCTTTCCTGGAAATTCCTGGATTTCGTTTCTTCATTCAGAATATTGTAGCTAGGATTTACGTATATTGTCATGGGAATTCTTCAAGTCTCATTTACAGCAACCCTGTGGGCTAGGTGAAGTGCTCTCCCCATCTCAGAGAGGTACAGACAGTGAGGCTCAGCCTGGGGAAAGCACTAGTTCACAGTCACAGCTGGGACTTCACAGACGGGAAGTTGGTGTTCAGCCCGGAGGTCTCTTTCTCTCTGATGTCCTCATAGACTGAGGCAGCTAACAGTTTGGGGATCACTAAATCCTTTGAGAATTGATGAAAACTGTGGGCTCCTTCTTGTCCCAATATCCACACACATTTCTACATAAAATTTAGAGCGTTCCAGACCCCTAAGGCTCTTTCATGGACCTTCAGAGGATCCTCTAGGTGTCCACAATACTCCACTATCATTGCATCTTTGGAGAGAAGGAGAGAGAGAAAGAGAGAGAGAGAGAGAAAAGGAGAGGACATGAGCGCTACTGGGTTTTGTTATTCACAGGTAGGGATGGTGGCACTGCTTTTCCTCCATTTCCCAATAGTTCCCAAATCCTCGTAGAGTCACACAGGCATGGATTCGTGTTGTGGATTCTACTCTTATTCAATGAGTCTGTTTATTATTCTGTAAATTGAGATAGTGACAATAAGAACATGCCTCCTAAGAATGTTCTGAAATAGGAAGGGGTAGTGCATACAGCCTGATGTATCGTAAATGCTCATTAAATGGCAGCTACTTTGATCCACACATTCATTTATTCACTCATTGAATAGTAATTTGCTGGGTGCCTTCTGTATGCCAGAGAATATTGGCATTGGACAGGACATGCAAAATAAGCTAATAAGGAAATATTAATAGACAAGAGCAATGATTACAATAAAGCAGGATGCTATTTTAGAAAGTGGTGGGAGCTACTTCAGATTGAGTGGTGAGGGGAAGGCCCAATCCTGCTTTGTTTCAGAGCAGATACCCTGAAAGATGCAAGAGGAAGGCATCAGAGAGAGGCAGGTGTTGGTGCAAGAACCCTGAAGTAGGAGCCAGTTCAGCAGGTTTGAGAGAGAACACGAAAGCTGGATCTGAGTGAGCAACGGGGTGAATGGGAAGAGAAGCAGAGGGGTGATGGGGTCACGTCACAGGGCCACGTGGACCATGGTGGAGACTTGAGGTCTTACTCTTAGCGAGGTGGGAGCTCTCTGGGGTGTTTGGAGCAGGTTAGGGATAATGAAAATATTAATTAATTTTCATTTTAATAGGATTACTTGACTTCAGGGTGGGGGTGGGTGAGTAGTGAAATGATTGCAGAGGGGACAAGAATGAGAATAGGGAGACCAGAGGGGAGGCTTTGCAGATCAGTGTGAGAGGTTTTTCAGTAAACTTTATGGTTTTATGATTGTAAATCAACTTTTTACTGAAGTTTAACAACACCCTAAAAAGTACACACATCATAGGTACTCAGCTCAGTGAATTTTTCAAACAACAATACTGATATAATTGACATACAGATAAATAACAACAGGTCCATCCCTGAAACCCTCTCAAGTCCCTTCCAGTCACTATTCTCCCAGTATCCTGACACCACAGGTTCGTGTTACCTGTTTTTGAAATTCATATAAATAGAATTATGGTATATGGGCTCTTTTGCATCTACTGCCTTTTGCTCAACATTACGCCTGTGTGTTTCATTCAGTTGTTCGGTATAGGAGTGGTTTGTTCATTTTTCATTGTTGTGTAATGTTCCATGATACAGGCATGTCATTGTACATTTTTCTATATTGGAGGTGCTGGGCATTTTATATGAAGTTTCAATGAATCTCCTTGTTCTTTATTTTGGTGAACACAAGTACACATTTTTTTAAGTATCTGGGAGTGAAGGTGATGAATCACTAAGTATACATGTGAACTTCCAGCTTCTTTAAATACTACTGAGCAGTTTCCCAATGGGCTTATTGGTGTTACAGTTGTTCAGGTTTCATTATCACCCCCCAGGGGGACATCACTTCTCATTCATGTCTACCAAGTAGGTGGTTCAAAGTAGTTCTCCAGGGGAAATTGTCGAGAGGCAGACAGCATGTAGAAGTTGAGTCACAAGGAGGAGGATTGTCTAGTTGGCAATCTGACCAGGGAGATCTGATCAGACTCAACAATATGGTACGGAATGATATTAGAGATGTTGAACCATCTGTACTGCTTGGGATGCCAACCAATCATGCAGACCCTGGTCGGTCATGGGTTAATTGTTTAGTTTCTGGATCCTGGTAAGGTGAAAGGCAGATTGGGGTACAGGGTTTGGGGTGGGGATTACTTACCAATCTATATGTAACTGTTTTCATGGCTTAGCAACAGGGATGATCACAGAGGTGCATATTAATGGCAACCCTGGGTGTGTGTGTACACTTGGCAGCTCCGAGACAAATACGGGGATGTCTTCACGGTGTACTTTGGGCCAAGGCCTGTGGTCATGCTATGTGGGATAGAGGCCATTCGAGAGGCCCTGGTGGACCAATCTGAGGCCTTCTCTGGTCGGGGGAAAGTTGCTGTTGTTGATCCAGTCTTCCAGGGATATGGTAAGTGCCTCAAAGTCACCGGGATGGGATGAAGGATGGAGGATGGGGGTTGGGGAAGGTGAGCTTGGGAAGGGAGGACAAAGGGTGGAGAGGGACCCAGCGTGTCTTTCCAACTCCCTCTGCAACCCATGCCTACCTATACCACAGGTGTGATCTTCGCCAATGGGGAACGCTGGAAGACCCTTCGGAAATTCTCTCTGGCCACCCTGAGAGATTTTGGGATGGGCAAGAGGGGTGTAGAGGAGCTGATTCAGGAAGAAGCTCAGTGTCTGGTGGAGGAACTGCGGAAATCCCAGGGTGAGTCCAGGAATCGGAAGGAAAGAAGGACAGTGAATCAGAGAGGTGCAGCGTGCATAGTAACTGAAAGACAGGGGTGTACATGGCAGGGGAGAAAGAGAGGTGGAGATAGAGAAAGATAGAGACTGAGAGATCATCAGACAGAGGGATGGGGACACAAGAGGGGCACAGAGATGGGCAGAGATGAGTAAAGGGAGCTAGAAGAGATTCAGGGTTTAGGGTCGAGAAACTCAAAGACATAAACTTAGATATTATCATGCTATTTACTTGTGTTCAGGGACACCAGTTCATGGAGTAATTGTATCTATCAAAGGCAAAAACAGGGCCTGTATAAAGGAAAGCAAAGAGAAAAAAAGGAAAAGTACAGACATTTTGAAAAGTACAAACCGTGTTTTCTGTTCCTTGAGTAAAGTGCTGATGAACAGGCAGCGAGCAAAGAGGAAAGTTGGGGTTTTCTGCCCTTGGCAGCTGGATGGGCTGTCAGAGAAGCACGTTCAGTTGTTTTTAGATTTTTCATACAGGGGTGTTTATGAGATATAAAAGTGACAGGCTCCTTTCTCCTGAGATTGTGAGACATAAACACAGAGGCTGGGAGGGAGAGGCAGATGCAGCGACACAAGGACCAATAGACAAAAAGGACAGAGAGAGGGACTGAGAAAAATGACAGGAGGAAACAGAATGACACAGGCAGAGAGACAGAGAAGGAGAAAGAGATAGAATAGGTGGGATTGAGGCAAAGAGAGAGACACACAGAGACAGAGAGAATGGAAGACAGTTGGAGAGGGAGAAAGTAACAAAGGCAGAGAAAATTAGAGAGACAGACAGGCTCAGGAAAGATTCTGCAGAGAAACAAGATAAGATGGGCAGATGAGACGGGCAGAGAGGGGCTGCCTGACCTGACCCAGACTGACCTTCCTGGCCTCACAGTCCACCCTCCCTCCAACAGGGCGAGCCTGGCTCATACAAACATCAGTTAACAAGTACAGAAGGATTTCTTGAAGACCAGAGACCACCAGAAGTGGACAAAAGAAGAGAAGGGAATGACAAAAAAGGGACAGCGAGAGCAGAGTGTTTTAATTTGTACAGATCATGGATTGAACACCTGCACTGTACTCCCCCAGCCTAGGGAATTAACTGTACCTGTTCCCAGAGTCAGAGCTGGTGCCTAAGAGGCGAGCAACCTCACAGTCTCTGTAGCTGGGTTGTCGGGTCTGGATCCTGGCCCCAGCAATGAGTCACATGGTCAAATGACTTAACCTCTCTGTTTGCCCATCTACGAATAGGGATAATAAGAGAACTGAACCTTCCTCACAAAGTAGAGTGATAATTAAATAAAATAATATGGGAAGTGCTTAGACTAGGGCCTGGCACATAACACAGGGTAGTGAGTGTTAGCTGTTATTATTCCTATTTTCTTTATGATTACTGAGTGACAGAAAACAGTCACACAGAGATGGGGCAGCAACCAATGCTCCTCAGGCACTTGAGTCTGTGTCATGACCTGCTACCACCACCTCCTAGGAGAGCTCCAGGACCCCACCTTCCACTTCCACTCCATCACTGCCAACATCATCTGCTCTTTGGTCCTTGGAGAACGTTTTGCCTACAGAGATCCTGAGTTCCTGAAGCTTCTGGAGATGCTTTACCAGACCTTCATGCTCACAAGCTCCTTCTCCAGCCAGGTCAGGGAAAGGGTGAGGGAAGGTTGGATGAGGTGGACATTTTGGTCAGGGGAAAGGGATGATCTGCTTTGGGGTCACAGAAATGCAGCTTGGAAGAGGGTTGGAAGAGGGGCAGGGACAACAGGGAGAAACAGGGTGACAGGCTCCAGGATGGGGAGAGATGGTGAGACAGGGACTGAGAGACTAAGAGAAAGAAAGGGAAGTGATGGAGGAGGCAGAGATGGAGCGTCAGAGAATTAGAGGGAGAAACTAAGAAAACGAGGGCTTGGAAGAGAAAGAAAAGAAGCAAGGAGAACATGAGAAAACAAGACAAAAACACGCAGGTTAAGAGATCCTATGAGACACAGTTGAAAATGTGTGTGTGTGTGTGTGTGTGTGAGAGAGAGAGAGAGAGAGAGAGAGAGAGAGAGAGAGAGAGAGAGAGAGAGAGATTGATTTCTCTGGGAGGTATTAGAGCCCTGAATGGCTGCCTCTTTCTGTTTTGCTAACCCAGCCTGGGGAAGACCTTATAGCCCCTTCTGTCCCACAGGTGTTCGAGTTCTTCTCTGACATCTTGAAGTACTTTCCTGGCACACACAGGCAAATCTACAGAAACCTGCAGGAAATCAATGCCTTCATTGGCCGCAGTGTGGAGAAGCACAGGGAGACCCTTGACCCCAGCACCCCTCGGGACTTCATCGATACCTACCTGCTCCACATGGACAAAGTGGGGTTTGGGAAAGGGGAAAGGGAGGGGATGAAGAAAAAGATGAGGGATGAGAAGAAGGGAGAAAGAAGTGGGGGCGGGAAGAACAGAGGGTGAGGAAGAGAGATTAGGAAAAGGTGAAGGGAAAATGAAAGGAAGGAGAAAGTGGAGAAAGTAGGGAGAAGAGAAAGACAGAGACAGAGAGAGAGAGAGAGAGAGAGAGAGAGAGAGAGAGAGAGAGAGAGAGAGAATAAAGAGAATAAATACAGGACAGGAAAAGGAACAAAAATACAGCAACAGGTGAAAAGACCCACAGAGGCAGAAAGACGCTGGGAGAGGAAGCCAGGCAAACACACCAAAGAGATGAAGAGATGGATTGAAACAGAGACCGAGTGGAGAGAGACTGAGAGAGACAGAGATAGAGATAATGGATGGACATGCAGAGAACAGAGAACAGTAAAATGGGCCAGGTGGTGTGAGAGACCCAGAAACAAGTGGAGGGAGCCTGGAGATGTGAGTGCAGCAAGGCTCCAGCCTCCCCTGACCCAGCCCCATTCCTCTGGACCAGGAGAAATCCGACCCGAACAGCGAGTTCCACCAACAGAACCTCATCATCACTGCTCTCTCGCTCTTCTTCGCGGGCACCGAGACCACCAGTGCCACTCTTCGCTATGGATTCCTGTTCCTGCTCAAATACCCCCATGTCGCAGGTAGGCTGGTGGGGACAGCGCATCAAGGGGCATCTCTAACCCCTTTTTAGCTGCAGAAGTGGGGCAGGGTTCCTGCTTGAATGAGAGGCAGCATTCCCCTCTTATATCAGGAGCAGTGAAAGACTGACTAAGTGGCCAAATAAGCCAGCCAGTTGGTAGATAGACAAATGAAAAGCCTGTCAGTCTGTTCTCTCCCTGTTTTTGCCAATCACTCAAAGATCAACTCATCCATCCATCTATCCATCCATTCATCCACTCACACATCCATTCATCTGTCTGCATTTTTGTCCACTAATTGATCTGTATACTCAGATACTTTCATAGATGATTTTCCCAAGAGCATACATTTCCATTTCTTATTTGGATTAATTGATTCATTTGTTGACCCTTTGAAATAGTGGGTAATGAACTCATAATCATTAATCCATTGGCTTATTTATCCATTCATTCATCCACCCATCTTCTTTTTCTATGAACTCAATTTCATTCCTTAATCCTGTCATCAGTCAGTCCTTCAATTCATTGTTAACCATCTTTCCCCTCCATTTATTCATTTAATAATTCACTCATCGATTGATCTTTGATTTATTCACTTACCATCAAGACATCCATTCATTTATTACTTTATTTTCCTATTTTGTCCACTAATTTATTTGTTTACTTATTCCTGCATAAATTTAGCCAGCCATCCATTCATGTGATTTATTAGTTAATTAGGTTCATTTGTTTATTTGTCTTGAGACCATTTATTAATTAATGATTTATTAACTCACCTATTGATTGATAAGTAAATGCATACATCCAACATTAATGTTCTTCTACTCATTAGTCTTTTCATTTATGAATTAATTAATTAATTGATGTATTCATTTATTAATCCAGTTGTTCTTGGGTTGATCTACTGATCTCTTTCACTGTTGTGTTCCTGAGGACCTAGAACAGTGCATCATTTATAAGACACATAATAAATATTAGTTGATTTTGTACTCATATTAGAGTCGGAATTTTTACAGGTTCATAGCCTCGATCTCTTTTTATTTTCTTTCTTTAATTTTCTTTTACTTTTTTTTAGCCTCGAGATCTTAATCTGAAACTCTGTGGAAAATTGTGCATGTGGTGTGTGTGTGTGTGTGTGTGTGGTGTGTGTACGTTTACACCTATGCACCTGGGGAGAGAAATCATAACATTCATTAGATAACAATGAGTGGGAATTCTTGTTGCTTCCTCCTCTGATTTCCCCATCCCAACCTGGTTGCTCTGAGAAGTGTCAATGATGTAAGCCTTTATTATAGGTTTTCCCTTTCTCATTAGCGTGTAGAAAACCATGCCTCTGCTGAAATGCCTCTTTGAACGAGGTTCTCTGGTCCCATTTTTCTGTGCAGAGAGAGTCCACAGGGAGATTGATCAGATGATTGGCTCACATCGCCCTCCAGCCCTGGATGACCGAGCCAAAATGCCATATACTGATGCAGTCATTCATGAGATTCAGAGATTCGGGGACATCCTCCCCATGGGCGGGCCCCACATAGTCACCAAAGACACTCAATTCCGAGGGTACATCATCTCGAAGGTGAGGCCAGCTGGGTAACCACAGCTCTCCTGTGTGAGAATCCTGGATTCTCTTAATCTCCAAACTTGACCTCTTTTGTTTTACTACTAGGGCCTCTTGTTTTATTTTTGTTTTGTTTTCAGGGTGGGGTGGGGAAGACAATGGCAATATCTTGTGATTGTCCTTCAGGGCACTGAAGTATTTCCCATCCTGAGCTCTGCTCTCCATGACCCACGTTACTTTGAAACACCAGACACCTTCAACCCTGACCACTTTCTGGATGCCAATGGGGCACTAAAGAAGAATGAAGCTTTTATCCCCTTCTCCTTAGGTAAGCTGGATCCAAACTCACTTCCCCAGACACCAGAGTGAAGGTGTCATTCCCTTCTTGAGACAATCAAGGAGAGATCTCTGCTTATGGAGCAGTTAGTACATCCCAGCTCTGTTACCTGCATTATCCCATGTCATATTCACTACTACCATTGAGAAGTGACATCCCTACCCAATGGCACATCTTGGTAAACTGGACTGTGGGCAAGTAGGTCAACCTCTCTACACCTCGGTATAGAATATCTGTTGAGCACAAATCTGACCCAATGTTTTACTGGGGGCCAAAGATAATGCATCAGACATATCACATGGAGATATAGATCCTGCCCCAGGAATTTTACAGTTCAGCAGGGGAGATTGACAGTCATTATAGCCACACAATAATATCTAATTATGAGATTTAATGCCTGAAATGTGGTTAGAACTGCTTGGCACAGAGTAAGTGCTCACAGTGGCAATTTATTATTATTATTATTATTATTATTATTATTATTATTAACCATAGCTTTGATAAGCATCTCTAAAGAAAGTTTTGGGAGCACAAAATGGGAAGTACTGACTACTCCTGGTTGGTCGGTGAGGAAAAGCTCACCTGAAGCACTCGCTTCTTTGCTAAAGACCTCATGGGTGAATATCAATCAGCCGCTGGAAAGAGCATTCCAGGCACAGGGAACAGCAAAGGCAAAGCCTGAAGGTGGAGACAACATGGCACATGTGAGAAGCTAGAAGATCCCAGGGAGCCTGGGGTGCAGATTACAAAAGGGGTCAGAGGTGAAGAGCTCAGCTGGACGGCCTTGAAAGCTGAGGGGAGTTGGGATTTACTCTGTTGGCACTGAGGAGCTGGGGCGAGGGGTCTTGACATGCCTCGGCTTGTCCCTATTCGGCACTCTTTGGCCCCATTCAGAGAAAAATCCAAGCTCAGGGTCTTCATTTTTGCTGATACAGGAAGATCCCAGGATCAAGCTCCTAGTCTTGAGGTCTATCAGTGACTTTAGTGACCCAGGGCCCCTGGCTCTGCCCACTGCAGTGGCCTCCTCTCTCATTTCATCTTAAGTGAGAGTGTGGGGACATGTGGGTGGTGAGATGAGGGTCAATTCCTTCATTCCATAGTTTTTCCCTTAGTTTATAAAGAGATAGAGATATAGAGAAATAAGGACAGAGATAGACAGGTAAGGGTAGAGTGAGTGAGAAAAAGAGAGAAAGACAAGGAGAGACCCGGAGGGAGAGAGATATGGGAATGAAAGTGAGTTAATAGATGGAGGAGGAGGAGGAAAAGTTGTAGGAGGTGGAAAAAAAGGAGGACGACGAAGAAGAAAAGCAGAATAAGAGATATAAAAAAGAGAGGGACATAGTAGAGAGGAAGAAATGGTGAAGGAGAGAAGAGGGATATGTAGAGGGAGATGAACATGAGAGGGAGCAAGTTGCAGACAAAATCAGATCCAAATAGATAGACACAGGGAGTCAAACAAGATTGAGGAAACCAGAAAAGAATGAAGGCAGAAAGATAGAGAACCAATGCCTGATAGGAAGTCTGAGAAAAAGACAAAGTGACCTGTATGGGCAGAAAGAGAGACAAACCGAGTCACAAAGGTATTAGAGCCAAAGATATATTAAAGCGTATCCTAAGGACAGCCCTAGGGATGGGAGAACAGAGTGGGAAGGAGATAACAGGCTGTTTTGGAAAGAGGTGGGTCATAGAGCCAGTTACAGAAGAGGAACCAGCCCAGCGCCCTGCCCCAAGATTGCTAAACTCATGTCTCCTAATTTGTGGATGTGCCAAAAATGTGGACCCTCCCCCAGATACCTTCACATGCACAATATCTAACAACTTGCAAGTCTAGGAACTGCCTGGAAACCCATTCTTGAAATGGCCTTTCCAGGTTGTCAGCTTGCAGATGAAAAATCACCAAGTAAAGGGAGAGGCTCTCTGTGTGTCTGCCTGAGCTCCATGTGTCCTCATTTCTCTCGAAGCCAGTGGTTTACACCCTATTGAAAGGCGTGTTCATGGGAGTGGTGGTGCTTACACCTCTGAGAATGTGATGGGAGCTATAGACTCCCTTCTCATATGCATAAGTCCCATTCACAAATTTACATACAATATGGGTTTTTTAAAATAAATTTTTTAAAATGTGTTTTATTTTTTTAATTGGGGAATGGGGAAGTGGAACACTGTTGAGGAATTGGGGAGAGGGACCAGCCAAGTTGTTGTTCTTCAGTCTTAGTTGTGGAGTACACCAGTTGCCATCTGGCTGCCCATCAGCAGCTCATGGCCTCTAAACTCAAGGTATTGTGTTACAATCCTAGTTGTGGGTGTGCATAGCCACCATCCCATGTGGGAGCTGAAGCAGCAGCCTTGTTGTTAAGAGCGCACACTCTATCCACTGAGCCATCTGGGTGGCGGCTCAGCTCAAGATGCGGAGTTCAGTCTTAGTAGCTGGCAGGCACGCATAGCCCACCATCAAACAGGCAGTCTTGTTGTTAGGAACACATGCTCTCACCAGCTGAGCCATCCTGCCACCTGTTGGCAGCTCAGCTTGGGCGTAGTGTCACTGGCTTATGTGGGAATCGAACCGGAGGCCCTGTTGCTCGGAGCTCACACTCTTAAGCTAACTCTTAACCAACTGAGCCACTTAGCCGGCCCCTTCTTTTTAGAACTTTTGAAGCCTGTTACTTTCAGGCTGAAATAAAAAGTAGACAATCACATGCAGTGCCAAACACATACCCCACACTTCCCACTACTCACACCCAGGACAAAATACAAAGTACTAACTACACCTATAGGATCCTTAGTATGGACCAGGTATTAGTCTAAGAATTTTTACACATATTAACTTCTTTAACCTCACAATAGGACTATGAGATAAGTACCATTTTCCTAATGCTAAGTCAGCACTATGCACATACCTACATGTCACATGTGGACACACACACACACACACACACACACACACACACACACATCCAACCAGGTGAGGGTCTTAAGACTTTGTGGGGCTAACTGAACCCTTGAAAATCTGATAGAAACTACAAACCCTACCCTGGAAAAATGAGAAAGGCACATCCACCCAAAGATTTCCACCTGGTTTCAGAGGGTTTGGGAAGCCCCTAGAAGTCCACCCTGAATTGCAGTCTCATGCAGATTGATTGCAATGGACACAGGCATCTGGGCTTTGGACAAAGAACATGCATGCACTCCAGGTGATCCACACTGGTGTTCCTCTGTGCCCACAGGAAAGCGCATTTGCCTTGGTGAAGGCATCGCCTATGCGGAATTATTCCTCTTCTTCACCACCATCCTGCAGAACTTCTCCCTGGCCAGCCCCGTGGCCCCTGAGGACATTGACCTCACACCCCAAGTGAATGGAGTGGGGAAGTTGCCCCCGACATACCAAATCCGCTTCCTGTCCCGCTGAGGGGGTTGAAGGAAAGGGGTCAAAGGATTCCAGGGTCATGAAGTATCCCCACCTCTGCAGGGAATGTCCCCTGACTCTTCATGTTTTCTTGATCGGAGAGACCTGTTACAAGCCAGTATCCTTCCCCCTTCTTGGTTGCCACCTCTTTGCATTCTCGTCTCCTTTCTTCATGCTGCAGCTCTTCTGAATACTCAAGGAGGTTTTTCCTTTCCTCTGGTAATAGAATTCCGGGAGTGGTGTATATACAGAAACTGGAGACTGTTCAGGGAAACTCAGCACAGGATTTCTCTGCAGTCTGCCACCCAGGCCATAGCTCCCCTTGAGTGATTTCTCCCTTTTCAGAACAACCACAGCCTCCATTTATGATCTCCTTGCGCTCCATGAGCTGTGCATCCATCATCTCACTTGAATCTCTCAATGGCCCCATGTGGTGGGTACAATGATCATGTGTATTGTATAGATGAGTAAGCAGAGGTGGGCAAAGGCATCAGTTGTCCGAGGTCACATGGCTAGTGAGTGGAAGACCAGATCCACACTCTGTCTCCTTCGCGCTGGAACTCAAACTCTTTACTAAAGCTTCCTCCCCATATGTTTTTAAATTAAGGTGAAATTCACAGAACAACAACAAAAAATCAACAATTTAAAAGAGTGTAATGTAGTGCTTTCTGTGTCTCTGGATTTGCATTTTCTGCATATTTTAATATAATGGAATCACATAAAATGTGCCCTTTTGTGACTGACTTCTTTCACTTAACATGATATTTCTGAGGTTCATCCATGTTGTGCTCCACTGTAATCTTCCCGCCTCCTCATCTTACTGCCTCTCCATTTTCTTTTTAATATGAAAAGGTGTCCACAGCCCACAGGACCCTGGTCTGTGTGATTATAAACAGATGCCTTGGATTCCCTGATACTCTCCTTGAAGTCCTCTGTGACACAAAGAAACATCCAAAGACTGACCTATCCAGGTCCGGTGGTGATCTGTGACATTTTATGTGTAAACCATTTACTGTCAGGTCACAACGGATCTTTCTGGAAGGTAAATACTTCTCCATCACCTCAATGGCAGCTACATGAAGGCAATGTGTTGCCTTGTTCATCACTGTTCTCTCAGTACACGGAGCAGTGTGTGGCATACAACAAGTGTTGAACATATTTGTTGAAGAATGGCTAAATTCTGCAATCCCCAAAACTGCCAACATGGAGCTAGGTTTTTTCATCAGCTCATGTGTCCTCCATATCTTCCTCTGTTCTATTGCCCCGAATTGGGGTCATTTGTCCTCACTGGGCACATTTTGCCCCAATTCTGCCTGCCAGCAGTTTTTGATTCTTCATATGCCTGCCAGTCTCTGACAAAACGGGCTGAAAGCCAGCCTTGCAAAAACTAGGAAACCAGCCTTCACATGTCCCACCAGCTGCCGCACCACTCTTTCTCCAGGGAGGCACCCTTTGTTCACGGACATTGCCCACTAAAATACCTCAGGCGAGCCAGGGGCTAATGGGAAAGTGGCTTTGTGACCCAACGGGGATGCAAAACTTCTGGCCTCTGTAGCACCTGCCAACTTTGGGCTCGCTGTTGCCTCTGGAGAGTTACAAAAAGTTCTGCTAAGGTAAATGTCTGGTGTATTGTCTGCCACCAAACACATAAAAACAACCAACAACAGAGCACATCACCTTTTAAGAGGGAGAGCAGATGGAAGGCAGGCACAGCGAGGACCATGGCCCTCTGGGTGATTCTGATCCACACGGTCCTCATAGGCCTCTTGCTACTCTGGGGCCACCTCACCTTCCAGGGCTGCCTCCCTCCTGCTCCCTGGCCCCTTCTTTGCCTGGGGGAACATTTTGCAAATAGACCACAAGGACCATCTCAAGTCCTTCCAGGCAGTGAGATGGGGAGGGGAAAGGGTGGGAAGTAAGATATGTAGGACGAGAAAAGTTCATGGGCAGCAAGGTAGTTAGAAATCAAAGTTGTATTGTTGTTTTTTTAAAATTAGTTTCAGGTGTACAACACAGTGCAATAGTTATATTTTTTACACCTCAAAGTGACGACCCTCCTCCCCCAACCCACCGCCCGCTTTCCTCTCACCCCATATCATACATATCTATTACAATTGCATTGACTCCACTCCCACACTATACTCCACATCCTGTGACTATATATATATATACATTCAATTGTAGTTGACATACAATATTATACAACATTAGCTCCAGGTGTACAGTGCAGTGATCAAGCCTCTACCCCATCCATGAAGTAGTCTCTCTAACAAGACATGTGACCATCTGACACCTTACAAAATATTTACGTTATCAATTATATTCCCTGAACTGTCTTTCATATCCCTGTGGCAATATTGTAGTTATCTATTTATGCTATCTAATTGCTTCCCCTTCACCCTTATTCCCGTCTCCCTCCCAACTAGAAACCATCAGTTTTTCCTCTATATCTCTGAGACTATTTCTGTTTACTTTGCTCGTTCATTCAGTTTTTTAGATTCCACATATAAGTGAGATCATATGGTATTTGTCTTTCTCCAGCTGACTTATTTCACTTAACATAGTGTTCTCTAGGTCCATCCATATCGTTGCAAATGGTACAATTTCATTCTTCTTTATAGTGGAGTAATACTCCATTGTATAAATGGACCACAGTTTCTTAATCCAGTCATCTACCGATGGGCATTTCAGTTGTTTCCAAGTCTTGGCTATCATAAATAGCATTGCGATACACATAGGGGTGCATATATTTTTTCAAGTTAGCTTCTTGGGTTTTCTGATAGATATCCAAGAGTGGAATTGCTGGGTCATGCAGTAGTTTCATTTCCGGTTTTTTGAGATACCTCCATACTGATTTCCATAATGGCTGCACCAATCTGCAGTCCCACCAACAGTGCAGCAGGGTTCCCTTTTCTCCACAGCCTCGCCAGCACTTGTGGTTTGTTGATTTATTGATGATAGCCATTCTGACCGGAGTGAGGTGGTATCCCATTGTGGTTTTTATTTGCATTTTTCTAACGATTAGTGAGGTTGAACGTTTTTTCATATGCCTGTTGGCCATCTGTATGCCCTCTTTAGAGAAATACCTCTTCATATCCTCTGTCTATTTTTTAATTGGGTTGTTTTTTGGTGTTGAGTTGAATGAGTGTTTTATGACTTTTTGATATTAACCCCTTATCAGATATATCGTTGGCACATATCTTCTCCCATTCAGTAGGCTGTCTTTTTGTTTTATTGATTATTTCCTTTGCTGTGTAAAAACTTTTAAGTTTGATGTAATCCCATATGTTTATTTTTTCTTTTATTTGCCTTGCCCAAGGGGATATATCAGTAAAAATATTACTGAGGGTAATGTCTGCAATATTACTCCCTATGTTTTCTTCTAGGAGTCTTATGGTTTCAGGTCTTAGATTTAGGTTTTTAATCCATTTTGAATTTGTTCTCATATATGGTGTAAGTAGGTGGTCCATTTTCATTATTTTGCATGTGTCAGTCCAATTTTCCTAGCACCATTTATTAAATAGACTATCTTTACTCCAATGTAAACTTTTGCTTCCATTTTCATAGGTTAAATGACCATATATAGATGGGTTTATTTCTGGGCTCTCTGTTCTGTTCCATTGATCCATGTGTCTGTTTTTATGCCAGTACCATACTGCTTTGATTACTATAGCCTTGTAGTATGATTTGATATCAGGCAGCATTATACCTCCCATTTTGTTCTTATTTCTCAAGATTGCCGTGGCTATTCGGGGTCTTTCATGGTTCCATATAAATTTTAGGATTATATGTTCTATTTTTGAAAAAATTGTCCTTGGTAGTTTGATAGGAATTACATTGAATCTATATATTGCATTAGAGAGTATTGATATTTTAATGATATTAATTCTTCCTATCCAAGAACATGGTTTGTATTTCCATTTACTTGTATCTTCTTTGATGTCTCTCTTCAACGTCTTATATTTTTCTGAGTACAGGTCTTTTACTTCTTTGGTAAATTTATTCCTACATATTTTATTGTTTTGTTTTGTTTTTTAATAAATTATTTTTATTATGAAATACACATTTTTTAGAATTAGTTTCAGCTGTACAACACAGTGCAATAGTTATACTTTTTACCCCTCGAAGTGAAAACCCCCCTCCCCCAACCCGCCACCCCATTTCCCCCCAATATCATACATATCATTACAAATCCCTTGACTCCACTCCCACACTATACTCCACGTCCCATGAC